CCTCGCCTTTTCCTGGATGACCCTAGCCAGTCGACAGACCACCACTCCATTGTCCAGTGCATCGAAGAAGTTGTCTCCGGTAACGATTTCAGAGTCTGAAACACAAGGGTGGCGTCTTCCATTGGCACGATTTTCATACCTCGTTTAAGTCAGTATTAATCTTCTCGTCGACTTGGCGTATTGCGTAAACGGTCACTGGAAAACAGTCGAGAGCATCGACAAAGTGGCGTCATTGTTGGAAACAATGGAGCAACCCTTTCTTTCGTCCCTTCGTCCATAGTCGAATCCTTCGCGAGTAATGCAGGGGTGAATTTCGCTTTTGTCGCGAAACTGCCAGCGTACAGGTTCTCACGAAACGCGCCTCGTGTTCACGGAAATTTCATTATACTCTTTTTACATTCTTTTCTCTGGTGTGTCTCGTGTGTGAGTGGGGACAGGGCAGCTTAGAAAATTTGCTTCGAAATATAGTTTAAATTATACTATTATACACACTGTGTGTGAAAATAGTCGGTACAATTTTGTAACTCATTAAAGAAGAAATGGTGCCAACAAAGATTTCGTTAATTTTCAGTAAAGAGTAAATTGTCTACTTATTTACACAAATTTTACAAAAAGACGTAAATTTTTGCTACGAATGTTTCAAAATTATTGTTCAATTTTTTAAAATGAAATTTATCTTAATTCTTCTTATATTGTCATAAAGAATCGTTACTAAAAGTCGAAATTTTACCAGCGTCAATAAACACTAATAATCGAGACTCCAAATGATCATTAAAAAATTTTTTAAAAATACAGTGACAGAAGAAGGAGAATAGGAAAATTAGTTTTTCTAAATTAAAATTCACCTTGATTCATTTTATATTGTCCTAAAGAACCGTAACTAAAAATCGAAATTTTATCAGCGTCAATAAACACTAACAATCAAGACTCCAAATGATCACTGAAAAATAAGAAAAAAATACACCGAAAAATTAGTTTTTCCATATTCATCTCGATTCTTTCTATATTGTTCGAAAAAAACGTTGTCAATAATAATCTACAGTCTAAATGATCCTTAAAAATGAAGAAAAAGAAAGTACACAGACAGGAAGAAGAAAGAGAGCAGGCAAATTAACCCTTTAACCAGCAACGTTAGCTCGCTATCGCGGCCCATCAAAGGCAGCCAGAGATCCTCGAGATGACACGGCCATCAGGAGACACTGAGAAACGATTCGAGGGATCGCCTTAGATTTATCTGAAGAACCGCTACATATAGCACAGTACTCCGATCTCCTCTTCGAATCGATTTCTTCCAGTGTATACCTACACCTCTTCCTCGATGTCCACGAAAAACTTCTCAACAGTTAGAAACTCTGCGCGCAGGCATGCTCGCTCAAGCGAGAAATGATCTCTCTGAGAGACACTCTCACGCTAGGCCAATCCGTGCGTGACTGCACGAAATCATTTCAATTTCGTTTCACCGAGTGCAAAACAGGATCAAGGTGAAGATTCTTTCCGGGAAAAATTGATTCACTAAAAACTGATCGATTGTCATTTTTTTTTTGGAAATACTTTTTATTCTCGTTTTTGCAATTTTTCTGTATTCTGTATGAAAAAAAAAAAAAGGATTCTTGATCCTTTCGTTTATTGGCGTTTTGAAATTTAATACTAATTTTATCCTTTACGAACTTGCACCATGATTTGAAAAATAAAATTTAAAAAATTCCCGCAATCAATTCTCAAATGACAAATGCATTCTGTCACGCGACAATTATCCCTCTCCACTCGTTGATCCCTCGTACAGTAACTTTTCAGATACCTTCTCTAGATTTATTTTCCAAATCTTCCTCGGCAATCGAGGGAATCCTCGAAACAAGTCTCTCCCTCGATTCGTCGAACGTCGAACTGGCGTACGACGAAGTTCGGGTGTTCTTTCGATCGGAAACTGGTGCAGAGAAATGTACGACACGGGCTCTCATCGTTCTCCCACGCTCGCGGACAGATCTCGACGGGCGAGAATCTAAGGAAAAGCCGCGACACGATCCGTGCCACGTATATAGATATAGGCGGGATACGATGGGAAATAGGAACTAGGTTGGGCTGACGGAGCGATAAAGCCTGGTAGATACGGATGGTAATGAGAACCAGCGGCGTGGCTCGTGACTCGACCCGGTAACAATAGGGTTGCACCCGGGGCAGAACGGAGAAAAAAAGTTTTAACGGGCAGGCTTATGGAGTAAAGTCCATCACACGTTGGCTCTGTAGGACACACACGTGTGTTCTGTGTATGAGACGTACAGGGTGGTTCAAGAAGAGTGTGGCAAATTGTTCTGAAGTTGATTCGGGAGGAAAAATGTTAACTGAGAATATTATTGTTGTCGTGATAGTGAAGTGATATCTCGGGTGTTTTAAGTGTGCTCTGTGTATTAAATGTACAGGGTGATTCAAGAAGAGTGTGGCAAATTATTCTGGAGTTGATTCGGAAGGAAAAATTGCTAATTGAGAATTTTATTGCTGTCGCGACAGTGGAGTCGTGTCTTAGATATTAAAGGTGGTCTTTTGCGTGAGGTATACAGGGTGATTCAAAAGGAGTGTGACAAATTATTCTGGAGTTGATTCTGAGGAAATGTGCTAATTGAGAATTTTACTGCCATCATGATAGTGAAGTCATATCTTAGATATTAAAAGTGGTCCTTTGTATGAGACGTATAGGGTGATTCAAAAGGAGCGTGACAAATTACTCTGAAGTTGATTCGGAAGGAAAAATGTTGGTTGAGAATTTTATTGTTGTCGTGACAGTGGAGTCATATCTTAGATATTAAAGGTGGTCCTTTGCATGAGGTATACAGGGTGATTCAAAAGGAGCGTGACAAATTACTCTGAAGTTGATTCGGAAGGAAAAATGTTGGTTGAGAATTTTATTGTCATCATGATAGTGAAGTAATATAGCTGAGATTTTATTGTACGAGACATACAGGGTGATTCAAAAGGAGTGTGACAAATTAATTCGTAGTTGATTCTGAGGAAATGTCCTAATTGAGAATTTTACTGCCATCATGATAGTGAAGTCATATCTTAGATATTAAAAGTGGTCCTTTGTATAAGACGTATAGGGTGATTCAAAAGGAGCGTGACAAATTACTCTGGAGTTGATTCGGAAGGAAAAATGTTGGTTGAGAATTTTATTGTTGTCGTGACAGTGGAGTCATATCTTAGATATTAAAGGTGGTCCTTTGCATGAGGTATACAGGGTGATTCAAAAGGAGTGTGACAAATTATTCTGTAGTTCATTCTGAGGAAATGTGCTCATTGAGAATTTTATTGTCATCACGATAGTGAAGTAATATAGCTGAGATTTTATTGTACGAGACATACAGGGTGATTCAAAAGGAGTGTGACAAATTATTCTGGAGTTGATTCTAAAGGAAATATGTTAATTGAGAATTTTACTGCCATTATGATAATGAAGTCAGATATTATCAATGTGTCCTGTGAATGAGTCATACAGGGTGATTCAAAAGGAGCGTGACAAATTATTCTGAGGAAGAAATGTGAAGAGATACTTGCGTAGTTACTATAGATAAGAACTTTTATTGCCATCGTGTCAATGAAGTAATATCGCATCCATTAAAAGTGTACATAAAACATATAGGGTGATTCAAAAGGAATGAGATAAATTTCGACAAATTTTTCTGAGAACAAAATTATACAAAATCTGATTCTTGTGTTGTTACTATAGTCGAGAATCTTATTGTCGTCGCAGTCTCATACATTGTAAAGGAAAGAGAAGATTCTGGAAATCTGCTCCTCAAGTATGAATCAATGAATCCCAAGCACGATATTATTTACGAAGCATTTATTTCTGTTTCGAATATCCCTCATAGATCAACAGGACCTCCGTGTCCAATCCATTTAGAGGTAACGGAGATTCAGACACGTTAACGCTCGCCTTCCCTGATGAAAAGAGGTATCAGTGTATTGATACCACATTCGCCATTCAGTTCCAAACAACTGGTGTCCCGTGTTCCACTTATATTTCCCCGATACTTTGGAAGTTTAGAATTTTTATTTTCAAAGAACGATAAAGTTGACAAATTGCAACAAATTAAGCCTCGTTGATTCGGTACGAAAATTATGGCCTCGAGTTTGTCAGAGCCCAGACTAATCCAGGGTTAATTGCCACTTCCTACCAAGCACCGTGAAACTCTTTCCTGCTTCTCAGACTGAAACTTCCACTACTTCGCCCTCCTTTTTCACTCAATCGAGGCGATAAAACAAACTTGCCTAAATGAGCTACAATTCAGAAATCAAGCTCCAGCTACGAAGATTAGAAAAACCTTCAGCATAAGTGTAATTTCCATTTAATTTAATTCGTCTCGTAACTTTTTCCACAGACCAGTAGAAAATTGAAAATGATCTCCCCAGAGATTAGAAAAACCTTCAGCACAGATTACTTCAAACTCGACCACACAAACATTCCCAAATAAACGAATAATTTCCACCTAATCCAACTCCCGCCACAACTTTTTCCACAGTCACGCCAGAAGATCGAAGACAATCTCCAGCGAGGATCGATGAAAATTTCTCACGATCCTTCTGAATCACCCTGTACACGTGTACACGCAAGCACACACACACAGAGAGACACGTGTACACTGTACACAGGTAAGACAGCGTTGCAGCAGGGGACAGGGGGGAGGGATCTGGTTGGCGAATATCGTTCGCATATGGCCTGGAGACACAATGGCGAACTAAAGCGAGGCTCGTGATAACGCCGGCTGTGTTCTCGTAGGATGCCTAACCCTCGGCTCCGATCTTGCGAAAGATCACGGGCGTGAGCGTATTTAAGTGCGAACCGCGACGACGACGAACAACAACTCGGTCACCCGGAACCCCGTCGTCGATCTAATTTATGTTTGACATTACCGGGGACCAATAACGCGGCTCCACTTAAGGGAGTGAACGGAACGGAAAGCCACTGGTAATTAGACCGCGGATCCTCGTGTGAATTTTACTACCGAATGAAATATACGGAGGTACTTTCGCTTTGTCATCGAGCTTTCAGTTCGACTACTTTATGGTAGGATCGAAGTTCTGTTTTGAAAAGGACGGGGAT